AACCAGAGGGGGTGGGGTGGGTAATAACATTTAGTAATGATACTTGTTATTAGCAGGAAGATATGACAACATGAAACCTGCCCAAACAGTGAAATGCTTTCCTGTGCAATCTCTGTAGTCAATCCAGTCACTTCATTCATTCCTCCCTCTGTTGGAGAGCTTTGGGCTTTGTCCCCTTCCCCACCATGATGGTAAGGAAGAATCATTGGCAAGTCTTCATTCTGTTGTTCTGTGTGGGGCATGAGCCGGAGTGCAAACAAAGTGCAGAAGCACTGTTTCAACCTGAAACTGAGGTGGCACTTGCCTTGGTATTACTGTTTTGTAATTAGTTTCAAGTGGAATAGTCATCTCAGAGAGTCATTATCATTTTGAGAGTAGTATGTACAGTTATATAGTTTTGCTGAAGAAAGTCTAAAATAAGAGGATAAAATGACTTTTCTTAATTCTCTCTTTGAGGGTTCAGAGATGTTTTCAGAGTTTGGCTGAGAGGCCCTGTGTTATTTTGGTGATTGAGAGTGTGCTTTCTGCAGGTTCCTTAAGTCAATTATTTACAAACAAGTAGTTGATTGATTCATCAGAATTCTGTGTCTGTGTTTTTTCATATATCTATGTATTACGTATTTTCATATATCTATAATCATATAAATGTGTGTATATATATATATATTTTAAAAGTTGCAAGTAATTCTTCTACCAAGAAAGGGCCCGCTAAGTCCTTTGACTTCATGTGTGCAGAATGTTAAATAGGATTTTAACTTTAATGTGTAGTTTGAACTGTGTGTGAGGGTAGATGGTGATCTGAGAGACCTTGTGCTGAGTGTGTGTGCTGTGTAACACAGACATTTCCTTATGTCAGCAAGCTGTCCAAAGTGATGTGTGGCTGTGTTTATCAGAACCTTATTTTATTTAGATCTAACAGAAACCAATGTCATTCTACTTAGGCTAGAGGTGCGAAGGGAATAGAGAGATTTCAGAGCTATCCATTCAATCAACAAAAAGCATGGAGGATAATCAGTGCTTTTACAATAACGATTCAAGGGGTTACGTTGTTTTGCTGTGATTTTCTCTGCTCCCTGCAATTTACAGCACTACTCTGGATTGACCAGTGAATATTACCTAAATTCAGATGTTTGAGGACTCTGTTCTTTCTATGTATTTTAACTACTCAAGCTGTTTAACCTTCACAAGGTTTCTTGTCTTCTTTGCCACACCAGAATTCTTTGTGGACATGCGTACAGTTGCAGATGTTTTCTTTACTGAAATACATTTTTCTCAGAATAACAATTCTCTAAAGTTATAGCACCAGAATTCTAGTATGTTTCTGTATATTATTTTTGTCAAACCATGCCCTTGATTCATAGGGAGGTTGAAGTGCATCTGTAAGTCCCAGGAGATCTGAGACTGATCCTTGAAGCTGTCTGATTCTAAATAATTAATTAATGTCATATATGAGATCTGTAAAGAACAGTGTTTAATACTCTACTGGAAGTGTTCATAAGCACTCCTAGGAAGTTTAGCCATTGAATAAACCTTTTAAAGGGAGGAGGAGGAGATGGGTGGCTTGCAGCCTTCTTGCCAAGGCTGTATGTTCTGTTAGTGACAGCGTTGTCCACACCTGGCCAGCTGCAAATCCACTGTTGAAATACAACAGTTTAAAACACAACAGCTTTTACAGTCAGGTGGGTGAAGGATGCAGGTTCTCCTGCTGCCAAGACCCTAGTGGAACTGAGGTAGTCCCAGTTTGTTGTAAAAGAAAAGCTGGTTTTGGAGGTGTCTTGCTGCTGGGGCTCCAAGTGAAGTCAAGGCAGACGCCGAGGAGGAGCTGCGTCAGCCTCCCCCTCAGCATCCCTGTCATGGTGCACCCCAGGGACTGAACTGGTGGCAGAGCTGCTGCTTCTCACCTTGAATCATGATGCATTTCAGTCAGCGTGTCTCTTCTTTCTCTGTGCTGGATGTCATTCTTTGTGGGAGTCTGGATAAATATTTCAGTCTGTAGGAGTTCAGGAGAGCCTAGGTATCACCTAGCAACAAGCATCCCACTCTCTGCCTGCTGCTTCTCTTTAGTTTTATTAAAATATCAGTCTCTTTACTTTTATTAAAATACCAGAAGTTCAAAACTTAAGTTAACTTTCGGAAATATTTTTGAGATATTAGAGCAGCCTCAGGTATTTTTGTTACTGACACCACGTCAGAGTAACAAAGATACTGGGAGGTGCCGGTGGTCTCAGAGCAGGTAACTCAGTTTGCCTCATCTTAAGAGAAATTATCAAAGACAAGCAAAAACTTTAGCTGAGAACAGAATAAACTTTATGTTCACAGTCGGGTTATCAGTGACAAAATGCGTCGTAAGTGCTCTTGTGATGCTGTTACTTGGCTCCACTTGCAGATTGTGATGCCTGCTGACACCGGCTCACATTGCAGTTTCGTTTTCTCCACAGAAAAATTGGTGGCAAAGTATTTTGCCTAGTCTAAATTACAGCAGTGCAGAATCCAGTTTATGAAGATCTTTGGGGCGAGATCCAAGGAAAGAAATGTAGGTACTTGAGTGCAGGTGTATGTAAAATTTTGGGTAGGCAGATACAGTACAGTGATGCGCTGAATTTTATCTTCTCCTGTCTCTTATTGCTTCTGAATGGGAAGTCTTGTCTGGTTTACAGAGTTCACAGATTTCTCTGCAAGAACCAGAAATGTGGGAAACAAAGGAGGTAAGTTAACAAAACAAGGGAGAATGGTTTTAAGCTGAGACAGGAGAGGTTTAGGTTAGATATTAGGAGGAAGTTTTTCACACAGAGGGTGGTGATGCACTGGAACAGGTTGCCCAGAGAGGTTGTGGATGCCCCATCCCTGGAGGCATTCAAGGCCAGGCTGGATGTGGCTCTGGGCAGCCTGGTCTGGTGGTTGGTGACCCTGCACATAGCAGGGGGTTGAAACTAGATGATCATTGTGGTCCTTTTCAACTCAGGCCATTCTATAATTCTGTGATAAGTATGTGGCTACTATGAGCATACAGGTAGCCATTCTCAACACTGCATTGATGGCAACCACTTTTCTTTATGTAGTACACTGCTAAAAGTGTACTTTCAATTATTCTGCTGCATCTGATGATTAAGATGGCCTTTGGAAGTAGTCACTCTTAGTCTTCATGAAGCTGGATGTGACTCGAGGCGTTTGAGAGGGATTGTAAGGGGATTTGTTGAAAGGCAAGTTCAGATTTGAGAGTTTTGAAGAATAAAAGTGCATATATTTTTTAAAGTAAAATAAATGATTCAAGACAGTGATTCAGAGGTATGGTTATATCCTAATATGGGTTTTACTTTGTAGAGAGGAAAGTTAAGCAAATTACTACTTTGTAACATAGTTGATATTGTCTGTGTATGTGTGTTCTACCTTATATATCCAAATTAGAAAAAGGAGGTGTATGACATGAGGAGTACTTCTAAGGAATTTACTTAAAAATTAATAGTACATAAAACAGATAGTGAAACGATACTTGTATGAACTTGTTGTTGTCTAGAAACAGACAAAAATATAAAAAATACATATAAAAACATTCTCTACAAATAAGAGTAGCCTCCATTTGTCTATGAATGTCTAGCATGATTGTCCTAAAAGTCTTCCCATGTTCCTTACTCTAGCCCTCTCTGCTAAGCACTGGGGATGCCAACCGGATGAAAAAGAGTTGTTTCCAAACTGGACTTCTGAAATTTCTGTTTACTTTTTTTCTTGACATAGGAGGAGCAATCTATTGCTCAGTGGTTCTGACGGGACAGAATCAGTGCATGAGATCTGCAAGGACAGACGGCCCTGTTTCTCATGTACATTTCCATGTCATTTCATTTCAAGTCAAAGGTGTACAACGCTTCTAAAAATGAGGCTGCTCATTGAGCAGGTGTTTTCAGATAGAGATTTACCTCTCAGTACCTTTGTGATACTAAGGAGCATAGTTTAGTGGGCAGTATTGGTGTAAGGTGGACAGTTGGACTGGAGGATCTTGGTTATCTTTTCCAATCTTAATGATTCTGTGATTCTTTTCACCCATAAACAGCCTAAAAAAGTCACGGTTAAGTTATTTGGCCTATATGTGTGGAATCTGCGGCCAGTGCTCATTGCTCATCACCATCACTGCTCTTTGCCACCCTTGCTGGCCATCTCAATACTAGGAGGCTGATTCCTGTTCTGTCGTCAAACTATGTGTTCTGTATTTTGGGTGTTCTGGATCGTGTTTTGGGCAGTGGGGTGGTTGCAATGCTGGAACTGCTTGTGCTTCTCAAAGAGTCCGTACAGTAGTACTTCCATGAGCTTGGAGTGCATTAAGGAGAGAGATTGCAGTGATGTGGTGTGTGGAAGGAAATGGAAGATGGGCAATTCGTTGCTTTTTGTAAATTGTAAATCATGCAAACTTGAAGAAAATGAATAAGCAAAGGCAGAAAATGAATAAGCAAAATTATTGCTAAAGAAGTATGTTTTTTTGTGAAGGGCAATTGTGTGTGATTTGGTAATGCAAACATGGTCACGGTTGTGATTAGCTACGTAACTGTGTTTTAGTTTTAGTTTTGAAACACATATCTATGCTTTTTTCTATTGCCATAGCCACAGTAACCTAAGAAGACTGCCAGCATTCGTGTGCTTTCATGAAGCTAAGTTGCTTTGCATTGCAAAGTTTGCCTCTACAAACGTGATGCAAACATAATTTGAAGAATAACTGCAAGCAGCTTAGAAACGAACAACTCTGAGAACACTGAATAAAATAATATGTTAACAGGAAATATATAAAGCTTTCTCCAATATAGTTAATATAGTTGTATCATAATAATCCAGTTTTATTTTAAAAATCTTACTGTTCTTCTAAGCTATTTCACTGCAAAACAGAAGTCTGTGGTTACCTTTTTACCTATATATATATATATATATGTAGTAATATTTGAGAATTTAATTAATAAGCCAATAAGAAAATAAATCAATCATATGCCAACTAAGTTATTCCTCTTTTTTCTTTTCAGGATTGAAGTGGATCTAGGGACGAATGGATGACTGAATATTCATATGAAGAGGAAAGCCATAAAAGTTGGTTGATATTTTTACAGCCATATGCATTATACATATTACTGCTATTATAAAAAATTACAGTATATTACAAAACAGAATAGATGAAGCAACCAGTCAGAGTTTTATGTGCCATATTGTCTTTCCTGCAGGGGACAGCTTTAGCTTGATGTAACTGTAGCTTAATGCAACAGTTTCTGAGTTTAAAAAAACAAAAACAAAAATAAAAAGACAACAGAAGAAAGCAAAAAAAAAAAAAAAAAGAAGAAACAAAAGCTACAGACCTGAACATTCAAATGAAAAGGTAGTAGTGCCCTTAAGGAAATGAGTGGTGTCATGCCATAGAGATCAGGCGTTTGAATGGTCAGACACACAACAGGGTGTGTTATTCTTGTGCACAGGGATGTAGGGTGAATGGGTTAGGTGTTATCTTCCATTACGTATGATGGCTGTGAAGCTTAATATATTGTTGTGTGGCAGTCAGGTACCACACTGACAAATGCCATGTAAGTCAAATAGGATATGATGTTTTAGTAAATACCTTGGTGCTTTGGTTTCTTACCATGCCGAGATATGTCATACCACCTGTTTTTTCTATGGTAGATGGACAGGAAAACCTATTAGTGGATCTCTGTGTATTACTGAATTTATTGTTATGTTTCATAAGATGATAGAATTCAGTAGGACTTGATATTTGTCAGTCTGACCTGTTGGTGAACTATGGACTTTGACTGGGATGCTGTGTTAACCAGTGCCAGCTAAGGATGTTCAGACAAAGCTGACCGTACCTGGCTTTGCACCAGATGAAACAAATTGCAGTGGCAGATGCAATGCACAGAGCAGTGAAATGCAGTGCAACAGCTCTGTTAAGTAAGGGATTGTGGAAACTATTTGTTGAGAAGGGATGTGTCATAGAAGAAAAGTTCTTTTCCAGACAGTTTTCTTCATCCCCTGAACCTTGGACAGGGGCAGGAACAATCAAAGAAACAGAAATTAAGGTTCTCCAAAAGTGCAGTTGACTACCAGAAATGTATAGCTCTATTTGACCAAAGTATTTAAGTAGGGCTAATATTATCATTTATCACAAAGGTAATTTGGTCATATCAGTACTTGAGTGGCACAGATGTTTTACAGTTTACTGACAGCTGATTTAGTTATGGAAGACTTAAATTCCCAGATTAGTCTTTTTAGTGTTTGCAACAAGTAAAAGATGCATTGTTCCTAACCACCTGAAGTTTCACAAGGACCACAAGCCTTGAGTGAAGCATCTGTGTCCTTGATCCCGACCTCCTGATATAGCAGCCATTGAAATAGTTGGACATAGAAATAGTTGTGTTTAGTTTAGTTTTAGTTTTAGTTGTGTTTAGTTTAGAAACATCTATAGTACATCTGCATTTTATACCACAGGTTCCTGAAAACCTCCAGGAGCCAAATTTAAACCTTAATAGAGTTGACAAGTAGTAGTATTGGTTCTGTGGCATAATTCATGTCAAGGATCAGGGCCTGTATTCCCAGATACGAACCAGCAGTTGCTGTCTGTAAAAGCCACCATACAAAGTCTTAAGGAATTTCTCTGATTTAATTGCTGACACATCCATCCATGGCTGCTCTCTGTACAGATATGTAGGATAGCTTGGGGTAGGATGACATCGTGGAGGAGCAAACACTTCCCTGCTCAGAGCTCTTGGTGTATAAATAGTAGTAAATAGTAGAAAGACTGATACGATTGAGACTTTGCTTGCATCTTACAGAATGAGTGACAAAATTCTGCACATACAGGCTAAAAGGTGGGGATAATGATGATGCTTCACTGGCAGAAAGTTAATGAGAAGTTGTCAGTACCCTCTTACTATCTCTAAGTTATTTCTGAATATTGGAGTTGGAGTGGGTTCCACATACTCTCCAGAAAACAGGATAAGACAACACAACCATGGTGTAATAACATTTGTGTTGGGGGAGAAACATGTTCAGACTAGAGGGCCATACTGTGTATTTGGCCTGGGATGTGACACTAGGGCAGAAAAAATGAAAGATCTGTCAGATCCACAAGATTGGCTGTTGTAACCAGGAGAAAGTGAGAATGTTCCTTGAGTTCATATGGCCATTTTCCAAATCTCTTGGAAAAGACTGTAGTGGTGTGAGAAATGCAGCACTTCTAGCTCTGTATCTCTGATCCTTTTTCTTTTGTTTATTTGACTCAGTGTGGAGGGATGGCAGGAAGAAGAGGAGAAATGGGATGACCTCTTTCTTTTCATAGTATACTTCTACTCTCATGTTCCTCTGATATCCCTCAGTAATCATGGGGTAGCTGTGCAGAATATGTGCAGATAAGGGAGAGAATGCTGCATTATTTCATTGTGTGTTATCAGTTTGGCAGTCTTTGCAAACGTAGGGCTCTGAATCCAGCTGTTAATCTTTATGATTAAGAAAATACCATGATTAAATCATGTAGCTGAACAACGAAAAACAAATGTTTTTTTTCTGTGGAATAACTCAATGTCTGAGACAAAAATCCTTGTCTGTGAAGACTGATTCCAGAAAAATTAAGCAACAGAGGTGGATGCTTTTAAGATCAGTTGATAAAATTCTGACTCCAGTGGGGAGAAGACTGGAGGATTTTAACCAGCATCCTGGTTTTCAGTTTATTGTACAGCTGTGAAAATGCTGCTTAGCTAAATAAGTTTTGAAAACCAATATTTTTCTACTAACATGGAATGAGTATGTTGGTATATCGTTGGTAGTATAAAGATCTTGGATTACATCATCTGTATGCTGTATTGGTATTTTTAAACTCTTTGATGGTCTCCTTCAAACCATATCACGATGTGTGTAAATTTACTTTTATGTAAATAACTGATATCTAGCCATATATGTAATTTTGGATGAAATAGGGACTTAATGTTCTATTTTTCGTAAAATAATGTCAGATGAATCCTTCACAGCAAAGTAAGAAACATGCATGACAAACTTGATGGCATGCCGTGCATATTGGAATGGTTCTGTGTTGTCTTTAACAGTGTCTGAATCCAGAAATTCAGTTTTTTGTTGAATATGGCATTTAAGATTTACATTTTTCGGTCTACATTGATTGAATGTGAATTTATAAAGAAGAGAGGTGTAGAAGCTGATGAGGAATTTGGTAATTGGCAGGGAGGAGCTAGAGCTCTGAAAGTCCTAGGCAGCCGTATTAAGACCGCAGGGCAAAAGAAGTGGGTAGGCTTGAAAGGTGGTCAGAAAGCTTAACTTAAGGACAGAAGAGGGGAGAAGAAGTTGCTTAGAGTAACAGACCTGCCTTTTCAGTGAGTGGTCTTGGGTGCAGTCTTCCAGTCAGGCTGTGGTTTTATGGACAGCCTACTTCTGGACGGCTCCTTTGATCAAACTTAACAACATTCTGAATTATTTAAGGTCATGCTCAAAAAATGTGGAACACACAGAATTGTACTGAATTGACTGCTGCTAGGAGCTGGCTGCTTATTTTCTTGAAGGGGTCCGTGTGACAAACCTGAGAAGTGAGAATGTAACCAGTGTGTCATCTCTGAATAAGAAAGAGAAAACTTTTGTCCAGCTGTATCGGTTCAGTGTCACCTTCCTCAGCTCCCGTGCAGAGCAGGATGTGTGAGAATGAGGACGTGTTGCTGACGTGGTGAGAGCAGGGCTGATACTCAGGTTGGGTGAATGGGCTGGCAGGAGACTCATCAGGGTCAGCAGAAGATGTGAAGTCCTGCACATGGGGAGAAACAGCTCCACAGAGGGCAAGTCCCTGAGATGTCTGATGTATCCTTGAAGCTGCCCTTTTGAATGGAGTTTGGTCTTGTTGGACTTCAGTCTGTATTTTACTGTGATTTTAGAGTTTGATAATGATAAAGGTGATTGTTTTTGTTATTAATGTATATTTGAGGAATTTTTACGTTGTTATTTGCATAATGTATCCTGCTGTCACAATACTGGTAGCAGCATTGCAGTGTGTTTGGCTTTTGTCACCCGCTTTCTCCTCTGTATCTGTTGCAAGCACTTTTCCTAGAAAGGAAATGTCTGCTCTTAAGCGGTCTTTCACATCTAACAATGTTCAATGGATTACTGGAGTATGATTGCAGATAGAAGTACCAACAGGATAAAATGCATTAATCTCAAGAGAGTTATCTTGCACTAGCCATCAATCCTTCCTTTCTGTCATGTTCTTTTCAATGTAGATTACGGCGAAGAGGCTGCAGTTTGATGTTTTGTTTCATTATTATTATAAATACCTTGGATAAAAAAAAAAAATATAACAAGCAACCACTTAAAAATGACCATTGGCCTGATTGAGCAGGGCAGAAAGTCTGGAAAGTTCTTTGGGTTTCATCTGCTGGGTAGCATTTGTTGAGATCTGTCCCTTAGCAATCCACTGGTGGTTGCCATTTAATGGATGCTCAACAGCTAAAACATAGCAGAGTGTTTGTTGTCTGGGGGCACTCATATACACAGAATAGAGCTGCTTTTACTGTTAATCATTTAAAGATATAAAGGACTCTGAAATGGTAACATGGGAGGAAAATTTTACTTTTTCCAAAACCTTATATTCAGAAAATGGAGATGCAGCAGAGATGCTCTGTCTTGTTCTGTCCCTTAAAATGATCACGTGCAGCACATTGGGTCTTGGCTCTGTTCTATTCATTTCCCCACTGTTCTGCTGTGTTGACAATGCTCTTCAGCAGCTGGCTTGGGGCAAGCATCCAAAACACACCCACATATATACACATAAAACCAGTTCATCAGACTTAGGGACAAATCATGCTTGGTGTTTGACTCGTGACCTGAGCTTGTTTAAACCAAGTTGGATTTTAATTTGGGGGCTTTTGTGCTTTTATTTTATTCTTGCCAATGTGGACTGGGGACAGAGGTCTATGAACGATCATAACCATTGCTTTAAAACTCACATCACAAAACAAAAATGTATTTGCAGAAGTGTTACTTCAGAAGAATACAAAGTAGTGGTTAAAGGTAGCTGTGGTTTTTCTGTACCCTCAAACTTCAGAAGGGCT